TTTATATTATTTAATTTAGGCAGCTGAACTAAGTGGCGCAAATATGAGTCTCTGAGAGATGACTACATATTTGTGCCATTTGCTGTAGAGACTGAGACCGATGTCCGTGGGGTCCACGTGCAGTGTAGTTCCTAAAGGAACTCCATCCGCGGCTGGTCGTTGCTGCTGGTGATAAGAGGGCTGGTTCGTTTCTCGCTCAAAGGCTAAGTATTGCCATTCAGCGGGGAAACGCAGCCAGCGTTCTTGGCACAATACCGCGGGGAGTAGGACTGTATGATAATTAGGTTACTAGTTTTAGTTTTCTTTATATTATACTTTTTAATATTGTATATAATAAAATATTGTATATAGATAAAAAAAAAGTATTAGTAACTGAAGGCAAAATACACTACTTTTTCCATTTGATGATAGATGGCGCTGTTATGATAACTAAATCGGTGTAGTTTCAAATTATTTTACCAAGGTTATAACTATATTTTAAACTTTATTTATAAATATGGTATTTATTTGAAAAACACCCGTCATCCCGCCTATAACTAAGATATAATAGAAAGTTAACATCCAAAGGAAGGAAAATACTTAACCTACTTTTTTTTAAGTTCTGTAATTGGATAAAATGTAGCCTCTAAGTTGCCCCGGACACCTAACTACCTAACTACTTACAAACAAAAATTTATGTAAATCGGTCCAGTAGCATTTGCGTGAATCCGGAATACACAGACAGACAGACAGACAGAAAAAAATTCTAAAACCTTATTTGGCTTCAGAACCCTTTATTTAGTCGCCTGGACTTATTTTTTCAAGAATATATTAGAATTACAGACACGACTTTTCTACAGATTTATTATATGTAATAGATTAGATGACCCTTTTTTCACATCTGTCAAGCCTATGTCTATAATGATGGAGTTTCACAAAGTAAAACAACATTCGCAATTATAAGCTACACAATAACTTCATTTTAAAAAACATATTGATCGTAATGAAACTGATAGTTCGTACATCCAAACAAAAATCAAAGTCAAACGAGTAAGGGTCTTCTAAGGCGCTGACAGGCCAAGCTGACGTATAGTTGCCTAAGGAGCGTTTTAGAATGACGCTGGCCGTTCAGTGCTGACAACTGTCAGCGCCGAGCCATACGCGACCGTACTCGCCGGGCGTCAGCACCGCTGAGAGCGCGGCGTCGACGCGCTACCGAGCTCAGTTATCTTATCGTTACTGTGTCACGAAAACCGCACGTGCCGATGAATACAGGCGAATGCAAAATGAGTCACTAATGGTGATAAATGCTACATTTTTCGACATATTTTCCGGCCTTTAATACTGACGCATGGAGCCATAGCACCCCTGGCACCCTTCGCTACACCACTGCAAAAGAGCGAAACACTCTTGGGATTGGCCATGTCTGTACTTTGCAGTGGTCAGCATACGAGTAACACTAAAACGAATTCCCACTGACAGCTATGCGCTGGCGAGCTACGCGCTGAGTTGTCGGTGGTGACGATCAGCGCGACTCTAAAACCGGCCTAAACCCACGAGTATAGTGTTGCCCAAAATCGGTCTTGGTCTTGCAGTCTTGGTCTTGTTCTTGCATTTTTGCAAGACCAAGACCAAGAACAAGACCGCCTCTTTTTAGCAAGATCAAGACCAAGACTGACCGTGCAAGATTTGCGCAAGAACAAGACTTAGCTTGCGAGACTCTTGCGTCTTGCAGTTAGGACTAAGTGTCGTTTCAGGGAGTATAGGAGTTCTGGTATACGCTTAGGGACTCTATGAGACGCAAAAAATATAATGAAATAAAATTGGAGAATTGGACTTATGCACATTACGAACAAAACCATAAATATACATAGCGAATGAAAATATCCATTAAAAGAAAAAAGAGTGTATCCCTAATTTTGACCATCGGCACTTTGATAGTGCACGGCGTCTTGTTGTCGGCGTCATCAAAGGTTGGATACTGACTTGTCAAAGAAATTGTGCAGCTATTCGAAAGTACAAGGTCAAGATACACGTGCCGGCAGCTACTATTGATATCGCATACAATCGTCGCCGCTGCGCCACACGCACTACATTTGACACTGTTTGATTGCCGCCACAGAGTACATGTTTCAAAGAATAAAATAAGTTTCCGGGTGCTCAGAATGGACACGAATACATTATCCTGATCTCGCAAGAAATATTGTAATTAGATAATAGGTAGGTATCATAATAATTTATTCTAGTAAGTAATTATTATAAAATTAACTATATGGATTTATAATAATTACTTACTATTATTGTTATTATTATTACCTAAAAGATAAACATGTTCAGTAAGTTCACTGCAAATCTCGACTTTTGCAAGTGTGTGTTTTTAAAACACAAAGTGCTCGAATATGTCGTCACACATTTGATAAATATGGTTGACACCATAGCACTTTTAAAATACTTGAAGTGTGTAAAAATGGATCTGGATCTTGTCTTCAAGGCTTAGGTATTAAGGAGTTGGAGGGGTACCTAGGTAAACCCAAAGCCGTCATCTCGGAAGACATTTTAGACTGTTGGAGGACGCATGAGACAAAATATCCGATTTTATCGAAGATGGCCCGTGATTTTCTTTTAATACCTGCCACTTCAGTACCTGCTGAGAGATTATTTTCTAAAGCATCATTAGTAATTAGAAAACATAGAAATAGGTTAAGTGATGAGTCAGCCAGATGGTTACTTTGTATTAATGCTTTGTCAAAACTGTTGTAACAGTAATGTCAAAGCTGTTGTGTACATACTGTGAAGTAATTTAATTTGCATCGTATTTTATTTTTTATTTAAATAAATGGTATATTGTATAACTCTTTTATTCCATTTCATATATGGTGAGGGTCCATCAATCTCTTTCTAGAGAGATAATTTTATTTAAAATACAGTGTAGTTATTGCCATTAATTTGTTTTTATATGTATGTTTAACCATGTTTTAGCACATGTAAGCTTAAATGTAAACGTTTATTAAGAAACTGACGCCCATGGCCGTGGGACACGGTAGATAGCTCAGTTGGTTAGAGCATCGGCACGGACCGCTTAGGTCGTGGGTTCAAACCCCACCCGGTGTCAGTTGATTTTTCGAATTTTTCATTAAATGTTTAGACATTTATTAATATGGTTGGTCTTTACTATGGCTATGTTAATTCAAGCTCAATATGTACCTACTCTGTTAAGTTGTTCTAAGATCTAAAGTATTTTAATAAATAGTAATAGGCTAATAGGTCATTGCGAGACTTGCGAGACTCTTGCTGCAAGACCAAGACCAAGACCAAGACTTGGAGCGCAATACCAAGACCAAGACCAAGACCAGGTGTATTGGCGCAAGACCAAGACCAAGACTTGCTAAGTCTCGTCTTGTTCTTGCATTTGGGCAACACTACACGAGTATATATTTGTATTCATATTTTAGCTACGTATTCAAAAATATGAAACTGTGTTTCGAAATAGAGCTAAATTCTAGATGTGCCGCCTTTTTAAATTCCGGCGTAAACAGTGTGTGTGGCTGTTATATGTTTTACCGTGTGTATCTGTGTATCTGAGTTTATGTGTATCTATGTATCTGAGTATATGTGTATCTGTGTATCTACTTGTGGCATCGTAGCTCCCAAATGGATAAGCAGATTTAGATTTAGTTTATTTTCGTTTGAAAGGTGACTTGATCGAGTGCTAGTCGGAGCTATAATTCAAAAAAAATCTTTTCAGCCGTTTGAAGTCATCAGCTCTTTTTGCTTCGACGGTTTTTAAATTTTTTAAATAAAGTTATTTCGTTCGTTCTAAGCTAAATCAGTAGGATAGTGTTATAGTCTTAGTTATAAGTACTCTTTTTAATAATTATAAAAATATTTATTTACAGTTCTACTGTTATATACAAATGCTGTGAATGGACACAGTGAAACCATTAAGGTATGTCATTACATCATAATAATATTGCGTTATTTCGTAGCACGAATTCAAACTGTTTATATAAATTCTATGTTACCAGACCATACTTTCTGCCTATAGTAATAAGAATTAGACTCCATTGAAAGACTATACACAAATATCATATTTTACTGTAGCGTTTCTGTTAGAAATCCTGATGGAAGGCTAGATTGTGGAGCTCATCTTAAACTTTTTATAGCATAAGGGTGACTAGCGAGCACACGGTCCGCCTGATGATAAATGGTTGCTGTGCCCCATAGAGATCTAATCAGTCAGCTGTGAGGACTAAGATGAAATGCCTCTTTTCCAGTAAAAAGGATCTCCGGTTCTCTACACTCACAATACTAAACACAACAGCATTAAGCTGCTATTTTACGCTGGTATTCTGTGAGAGCGTGGTCCTTCTCCGGTTGAGCCGAACCATTCGTGCTACAACTATACAAATAACATAGCTGCAGCATGGCTTAACCACGCTTAAACTGAACTCGCGTTCGAACTGAACAGCTTAATTGTTCGCCTGCATTTGTAGAAATATTTTATCTATTACAGCTAGCAAACTATTATGACGCGATATGCCAATAGTGCACCTATTGCCGTGTTCCGATTTGACGAGAAAGAAAGTCAGTATAATTAAGAGGTGGAAGGCATTTAGTCTTAATCCTCAGTAGTGATAACGCATCTGTGACCTTCTTTGTTTGAGGTCAATAGCAGATGTCATCATCAGGTGCTTGTTTGTCAGCTTTTATATAAAAACATAGTCGCTTAAACATGGTTATGGCAGTGTTGCGTGGGTACATAACATGAAATTATACGTAATTCATGATATTTTTACTGTACTACATTTTTGTAAAACATTCACATCATTAGGGAATTTAATTGGAGCATTTCCTACCTGTTCCTACCGTAACCATGATTTACTTCTTTTTCTCCATTTTAAGATAATTCCTACAGAGTTAGCTATGAAGTAATTTATTACTTTTATATAGAATCAAGTATTTTTCCCTAGAACGAAGAAGAGTGCAAAATAGCTGATCTTTGTGTTCACGATAAAGTACCCATGTGTGGAATAGATTCGTGCGGAGAAATGAGGACTTTTATTGATACATGTGACATGCACGAGTTTAACTGCGACAGTAAAAAAGGTATATACTTTTTTTAAATCTATAGAGTTCCAATATAGTTTCAGAAAACACAATAATAATTAAAATATGTTCTGTAAAGTTTGAAAAAAAAAATACGGAAAGCACATATTGGAGTGATATTAGTAATAGTAGGCAATGGTGCTACTGGAATGGCTCTGGGGCCCCTGAAAGCCTGGAACTTAGTAGCATCCTCATTATAGCCCTTTATAAGGCCATAGCTGAACAGAGGTCTTCTTGGGGAATGTCACGTTTATTTTATTAAAATATTTTTTTTATTGAATAAGCGTGACAAACGAGCACACAATCAACCTGATGGTAAGTGGATGCTATGGCCCATTGACCTTTATATCTATCCTCGATTAATAATCAAAATGCAAAGTAAAAAGGTTCCTCAGTTCTCTACACTAACCATATATAAGCATGCTATTTTATTTTACGGTGATATTCTGTGAGAGCATGTGTCCAACCCCGGCGAGCCGACCCATTCGTGAACAACCATAATATAGCTGCAACATAGCTCTATCACGTCCAGACTGACAAGAAACACTTTTTAAACCCGTGCCTTGTCATTCTAGACCTGTCCCCGGAAGGCAAGGAGATATTTAACGTTCGGCGCATATGCAACCTAACGGAGATTACAGTTGAAGCCCTCCGATATAGGGGCCTCGTTAACAAGTGCCAACTTTACAGCCACCCGGCCAGAAACTGCTACGCCAGGCCTAGGTGCGTCAAGTACCTAGGTGACCACGGCACTTTTGACTGCACCCGCACACCCGAGATGAAAGAGCCTCCGAGCTGTGTCAATTGCCACCCAGCGAACTATCGCGGGTATTCCAAAACGTCGCAAAGGAACAGTGCAGAGATAAAAGCTGTTTCGGACGCGCGGGCCAAATCAGCGTGTCACGCTCTCGGCAGCTTGTCCTCAAAACCGCACCATCCTCGGTGCCCACATCTACACCCCAGATCAAGCCACCAACACCAAGCCCGTCACTGTCACCGGGGTTTCCAAGCAGAGTGCAAGCCTTCCCGCATCTCCCGGGCTGAAACCCATTGCTTGGGTGAAACCAATTGTTGCCTCACAGCCAATGCAATCTCCCAAGGTCCCAAAACCGAAGCCCGTCCCACAAGGCTCTTCTTCATTCGCCGCTGACTTCTCTTCAGTTTGCGGCTTGATCAACAACATTAACGTTCCTGAATTATCAGCTCAATGCTACGATTAAGCATATAGGACTCATCAACGAAATCTGGTCTTTTCAGTGCGCCTAACCAGCTCATTAAAGTTATCAAAATGGCAGTACAACATTCCGGTAGGAGTAAACCACTCTCTCGGATTGTCATGTTCTTTAACACGGGCGGCCTTAGAAACTTCTTCCTGCGCAACCAAGATGTAGACATTATACTAGTACAAAAGACCTTCTCGAAGCCTAGCCATCGCGATCCTAAGATCGCAAATTACACCTTAGCTTAGATATAGAGTAACCAGCTGTAGAGGCGGCACCTTGATCTGCTATAACAGGTCCTCTCACTGTGTACCGATCGAGGCCCCTCCGTTACAAACTTAGAAGTGTCAATTTGTAGGATAACTCTGACTGGCCATCGGTCACTAACCATTGTATCGGCTTACCTACCGCCACTTAAACAATTACTAGAACCAGATATTTCAAATTTGCTAAGCCTAGGACCTAGTGTTATAATAGCTGGAGACCTAACCGTAAGCATTTCTCCTGGAACACGATTATAAATAATCCTAATGGTAATGTTCGATCTCACGGAGCGTCTAAGCTTCGATGTTATCGCGCCTGAAACTCCAACCGCTATCTATTCTGAGCCAGTCATCGACCGGACAACCTTGACGTAGCTATACTCAAAGATGTCCTCTTATCGGTTTTATCAATCGAAACAATACTTGAACTTGACTCGGACAACAGACCGGTCTTGTAACAGCTGGGCCAGCCCAGTGGTGAGGTCCTTCAGACCAAAACCCGAACCCGAGGTCAAACTCGAGTCTATGACCTTCCAGCACCTAGACAAAATCCCAGACAAAATAGACTGGCCAGAGGAGGCCTATGAAGCGATTAACGCCCTATCGGCCCACCTCCCCTCAACGGTCGAAGAATGCTCTCGTAAGGTTCGGGTGTCGAACAATCACCACATGAAGTTTCCAAGGGATATTTGACAGTTAACTAGAGCGAAGAACAAAGTCCTAAACGATACGATCACAAGGCCAGGCCACTTAGGCCAGGAAATCTCGACCTCGCCTTTGACGACTCTGAAAAGGCCGAATGCCTCTTTTTTTATAGGATAGGGTACCTGATGGTAAGTGGTTGCTGTGGCCCATAGACATCTACATTTATCCTCATTTGCGAATCAAAATGCAGATGCGTTGTCACCTGTGAGGACTAAGTTGGAATGCCTCTTTTCCAGTAAAAAGGGTCTCCGGTTCTCTACACTCACCATACGAAACACAGCAGTGTTAAGCTGCTATTTTACGCTGGTATTCTATGAGAGTGTGGTCCTTCCCCGGTCGAGCCGACCCATTCGTGCTTCAACTATACTACTAATATAGCTGCAGCATGGCTCTACCACGTATAGCGTATAACGTCTCGCGGATAGTTTAGAGAGCCAATGTACTCCCTCTAGCGAACATATAGATCCCACTTACCTTGAAAAGGTCGAAACGAAAGTTTAGCGTAAGTCTACACTGTCACCTGCGGGCGACTTCCTAGATCCTGTGACAGTCGATGCAGTCACAGAAGTAATAAAAAATCTCTAAAAGAGATCAGAACTTGGCCCCGACGGAATTGACAACAGAGTGTTGAAATCACTCTCAGCGCCCACTCGTCTGCCTCCTAGTAGGCATTTTCAACGCTCTTCTCTCTAGCTGCTCCTTTCCGGACACTTGGAAAGAGGTGGATATTATAGGAATCCCGAAATCAAGGAAACCGCGCAACTTAGCCTCCAGCTATAGACCGATTAGTCTCCTCACTACACTGGGGAAAGTTTACGAACGAATCATTTTGAATCGCCTTCATAAACACGTGTTCACAAACAAGCTTCTCCCAGACGAGCAGTTCGGCTTTAGACCCGAACACTCGTGCACCAATCAGTTACATCGTCTTACTGGGTATATTCTGAAAGGCTTTCAAATTTCAAGAAATCGTAGAACCTCTAACACCGTTGCCCTCTTTTCGATGTCGCAAAAGCGTTTTACAAAGTTTGGCACGACGCGACTGTTCGTGTGTTCGTGATGTGTTACACAAGATTATTCTGTTTGGTGCAACATTACATTTTCGTAGCATCACACTAAAATAAGTAATCTCAGGCTAAGAGTGCTAACATCACAGAAACTAGAAGGCTTTGTCACGTACAATTTTTCACATTTGTATTCGGACTTCATTCAAACCACTGGGTAAACTTAAGTTTACTATTTCGGATATTACCTACTCGTAACATACAATATACCAAGTTTAAAATGAAACTGAAATATAGTCTTTGATACGTCCATTTTTGTCGAAGATCACCCTTCAATCCAATTACCAGAAGGCGTTTGTGGATCAAAACCTTTTATCTACTCATTTCCTACTTTTGCGTTGAAAGAAATTACGTAAATGTTTAGATACAATTATGTATGGTATTTACTATACAATTTGACCATTATGTAACTTTATTTACAAATTATTGGATTGTAATTCATTAGATATGGCCCAGTTCTATCATTATTTATCATAATATCTTGGTACCCTTCAAAATATCACATAAATAATTTTGTAAATGGTGTGTTTTCATTTACAGATTTTAAACAACGCCCAATCCACGAATGCTGGGTAACATGTAAAAGAGGACGATCGTTTAAGAAGCCAGAGTACCGTACTGACTGCAACCTTAACATTAAAGCTAATAGAATGTAATAAAAGTTTTACTGTAATACTATTTTCCTGTTTTTTGTTATCACCTATATTTCAAAAATATAAAGAGCCAATGAAAATTCAAAACAATAGTTTTTCTTTATTTTTTATTTGAACGTTTTAGTTTTTATAAAAGAACGAACACAAAATCCTGAAGATAAGTGGATGCTGTGATACATAAAGACATTCGTCTATCCTTAATAAAGAACATAATGAGCATGCGTTATCCTTCTTGAAGAATTAGAAAGGAATTCCTTCTAATTCTTAATTTGTTTCTACCATTTATTTTATTGCAACCAGTTAAAAAAAAAATTTCGATTCTCCTCACTTACCACACAAAACCAATAATATCACAATCGTGAGGGATATACAGTAACCCTGTAACCATTTAATATTAAGTCGTCTAAAACTAACGCTGTCTAAACAAACGCTGACATACAGTTACAGCCTATTATAGTCCACTGCAGAACAGCCTGTCCCATAGATTGCCTTATAGGGGGATATTTGCCATAACTGCCCCGCTTGGCAAACGGGCTGTCAACCGCAGTTTTTATTTTTAACCGTTAATAGGAACACGCTGCTACCCATTTCCTGATTTGTTTCCCTCTGTCGCCTCTTACAACACCCTCTTCATGATGGGCTAGTGGATATTCTTACTCCACCACTACACAGTGACCTATTATATGTAAAATGAGTAAAGTGTAATGTTTAACCGCCGGCTAATTTTATGTGAAATAAGAAATAAAAAAACCGGTTCCGAATAAACTTAACTATGTATGTAATGTTATGTAATTCATCCATCACGAGAATCGATTGAGAATCTCGACGATTTTTGCTAGCTTCTATTACCGATACCCGAATGCCGTAAGGGAACAAACATTATATTCATTTAAAGACAATAGATACATGTATATAAATGATTGTATAAGCGGTTAGTTAAGTAAGTAATAAGTTTTATAAAAATAATGAAATTACTGAAATTCATACATTATACACCGCTGCCACATGATAAGGAAGTCTCGAGTGGCAGGCTTGTACTTGCAAGCGCAGTGTTTCGACCCTCCACTAGTTGACAACCTTATGAAACACGCAGGCAGTTGTTGGATCCAGGTGGCTCAATACCGTACTTTGTAGCAATCTATGGCGGAGGCGGAGTGATAGTGATAGGTAAAGCAAGCCGTCTTTACTGTGTTCCGTGGTAAGTACCAAACATTGCTCTAATGTAAATATTATTTGGATTGAAGGAAAAACCTAACTTTGCAGTGGAAAAATCATTCACCATTACATCGATCTACATCACGGTATATGCTCCAACTGCTAATGTAAGTTACATACCATATTTTTATAAGATATTGCTGCAAATTCAAGGTTTTTGGATTTTCCCGTTACTTGTACTGCGAGATCTTGCCTTTTGCCAAATTTCATGATTCTATTTCAATGAGATCCCTAGAGGCTTTGATAATTAAGTTTTTGAGTATGAAATAATAGGTATTTTTGTAATACTACTACAAATTTACGACTTTTAGATTTTTTCCTATATGCGTGAAGTTGCGAGTCTGAAATGTGACTTCAATGGCCGCATTTTTTATTGCTTTAACTTAGAAGCTTGAATTTTTTACATATCCAAATAACCACAGAGAGACCTAAGTTTTTCATTTTTTTTTCACTTTTAATACCTCTACCCGATCCTGAGAATGGGTCTTAACACGCATATAAACGGACGTAAGGGGAGGCGAGCAACAAATTGATCTTATAAGGATTCCCTTTTTTTGCTTTTGAGGAACCCTAAAAAACTTAAAATAGTAAAAATTACTGCAACATAATTTGCGCCAATTAATTGCACCTGCAAGTGTTACTATTGGCGTAGCTGACTATCGAGCTATTTTCAAGTGGAAGGCGTAGACGATACCGAATATATTTTAATTATATTAAACTAGCGATCCACCCCGGCTTAAAATTACTTACCGGGTCCATTTGTGAATCTAAACCATTCTCGAATCAACTTAATCACACACACAAAATTTCATCAAAATAGGTCCAACCGTTTAGGAGGAGTTCAGTCATATACACACGGAAAGAAGAATTTCATAATATATAAAGATAGATATCGTCTTCTACTTCAAGTACATATGTTTTATGGTGGAAATGTAGGATCCATTACTCGATTTTTTTCTAGGAGTGTTGAAAGAGGCAATTCACGAGAAAGTCAAGTTCAGTCAACTGTCAAGTGAGAATTAACGATAATGATAGTTTTGAGCAGCGTTAAATCTAAATTGTTGATTAATATTTTATTACAAATTGGCATAAGTCCCTCAAAGTTTGCCAGTGAACATAACTCTCTGAAAATAGAGATGACCTTTGACACACACACAATACACAAACACTCACGCCTGTCACCCAGAAGGGTAGGCAGAGAGTACTGACTTCCATTTGGTGCGATCCTTATACACCTCTCTCGCCTCCTTTATATCCATATATCTACGCATACACGCTCATCGGTTAAGAGTACTCCTAATCTGGCCCATTTTCAATGTATCGCCGATTTGGTCGATAAACCTTCGTCTAGGGCGTTCCTTCCCGACCCTGCCGTTCACTTCTGCAACATAAATTTGCTTTGTCACTCTTTCCTCGTTCATTCTTTTTACATGACCAAACCACCGAGGCATTCCATTCTTAATCCTGGTCACAACGTCACCTTGCAAACCACAGTTTTCTCTTATCACACTATTTCTCACCCTGTCATTCAGATTTAGCCCTAGCATACTCCTTAATGACCGCATTTCTACAGCATTTATTCTACTCTCATGCTTCTTCTGCCAGACCTAACTTTCACTACCATACATTAAAGTAAGGACTAACACAGCATTATGAACTACCATACGTGCCTTAATTGACACATTCTGACTCTTTATAATAGCGTTTAGAGCCCCATTCACTCTATTTCCTGCGTTCACTCGTCGTTCTATATCCTTATCATGTCTACCATCCCTGCTAAATAAACATCCCAAATATACAAACTTATCCACTTGCTCAATGAACTCCCTTTCTATTCTTATTTTACATAACGTTATACTTTCTTCTCTTTCAAAAACCATCAATTTCATCTTACTTGCGTTCACTTTCATACCCCTTACTTTTAAGGACCAGTTCATTAAAGTAACCATCATTTGCAACTCGGCCGCCGACGATGCAAATATGACTTGATCATCGACGTACAAAAGGCATTTTACGGTTAACTCACCCATTCTCAACCCACATTCTTCAACTTTCAAAGTTTGCAAATAACTATCCATAAATACGTTAAACAGCCATGGGGAAGCTACACAGCCCTGTGTTACACATATTTGAAAGCCAAACCAGTCCGAGTAGACCCCGTTGATCTTGATAAAAGCACTAGAGTCCGTATAAAGATACCTTAATGCCTTTATCAAACCAGTGCTCAACCAAAATGAGTTCAGTGTTTGCCATAACACGTTCCTGTCCATTCTGTCATAAGCGTTTTCCACATCCATGAACGCACAAAAAACTTTCTGGTTTTTGACCAAAAATTTCTCCGCAATCATGCACATGGAAAATACTTAATCCGTACACCTCATCCCATTTCTAAATCCAGCTTGCTCATCCCAAATTTTTCCATCAGTTTCTTCCATAATTCTTTCAAATAACACCTTAGCATACAGTTTACCCACAATACTAAGCAAACTGATACAACGGTAGTTTTTACAGTCCTGCTTTGATCCCTTTCCCTTATACATTGGGACTATAACGGCTTTGCACCAGTCTTGTGGTACCCGCTTCAGTTCCCAGCATAAATTAAACAAGGTTTACAACAGGCTTGCAACCACATCCTCTCCAGCCCTTAGCATTTCGAGTGACTCTATCATATCCGGCTGCCTTACCTGCTTTCATGCTTTTCATTGCTTTCATTATTTCATCTACACTTATCTCCCAACCTATCTCCACTTCTTTCGGAATTTCTATTTCACTTAATTCAGACGACTTTTTACTCTTAAACACGCTTTCAAAGTATTCCTTCCATCTCTTTAAATTCAAAACTTCATCATTCAGCATGCAGCCATCCTCGTCTCGTATAGAATTAATTCTAAGCTGTTTTGAATTTCCCCTGGCTGTTTTTACGAGTTTCTAGAACATTTTAATATTTGCCTGGAAGTTATCAGATATCCTTCTATCATTCTTATCCATCCTTTCTTGCTTTTTCCTTTCAACAACTTCTTTTACTCTCTTATTTATACGTCTAAAGTCTGCCTTTTTTCTTTCAATCTCATCATTCATACCTCCAGAATTACCAGCTTTGGTTGCTAGTAAATCTAGCCATGCTCTTTTCTTTGCTTCAACTTCCATCCGTACCTCATCATCCCACCACAACGTATTACTTTTCCTTTCATTCGTTCTCTTACTTACACCACATACTGCGGTGGCTGCATCCACCAAAACTTTCTTAACATTGTTCCATACAGTCTTCATGTCTAAATCATTAATACATAATTCATTCAAACCACTTATATTTTCACTCAGTCTACATTTATACTTCTCTTTCATACCTTCATCTTATAACCTCTCTATTCTTATACGCTGTAACGCAGTGGTAGACACAGATGTCCGATGCCGCCAACGCCTGAATAGACCATTAATCTGGCATAAGACCAAGTAATGATCCGTCCCTACGTTGGACCCCCGATAAACCCTTGTATCTACCACTGCGCTCCTCATTATTTTATCCACAATTATGAAATCTATCATGCTTTTATCATCCCCCCTTTCCCATGTATACATGTGAATCCTCTTATGGCGGAAGAAAGTGTTCGTCACAAAAATAATCTTTTCCACACATACGGTGAGTAGGTTTTCACCATTCTCATTTATACTTTCATCGCCAAACGTTCCTAATATCCTTTCATAACCAGACCTCTTCACCCCAACCCTTCCATTAAAATCTCCTAACATAATAACATAACATAACTCCTAACATAATAATATTTTCATTTTCCTTACATTTCATGAAGACCAGCCTTACCACGTCCCAAAACTGCTCTCAGATATAAGTGGGCTTAGACATATCTGGGGCGTACTTTCATTCGTATCCACAGCAGCCTTGGGCTTACACATTCATACTCTTTCACACATTGACCCATTCTTTCTGAAAGGATGACACCGACTCCCTGGCATGCCCGCTCAGTCTCGTCTACACCAGACCAGTGAGCGGTATACATGCCATGTGCAGTAGTTTCGTCTCATTTACACATCTATTCCTCTAACAATTATCATTTCGAATATTTCATCCATCTTATCATTCATTGCTCCGAATACACTCAGCGTAGCCAGACGGGCCTCCGGAATCCACTTTTTGCCCCTTCGTGACCTTTGAATGGTGGAATATTTCAATACATTAAATTCCATTCCATTAGTTCCCATTCAATAGAACAAAGTATCTTTTATGTTTAAATGTTATCCCCAACATGTTTAGCTCAAACGTGTTAAACTTAAAATGTTTCAATAGGTATCGATCATAGTTAAATCAACTCCGGTTTTATTTACAACATAAAAGTATACTAAAAGTCCAAACATCATTTACTCGTGTTTATGGTTGTTACAAGATGCCCATGGCATCTAAGTTGAAATATGTTTTGGAAAACATGAAAATTATTAATTTCGTATTATGTTTCGATTAATTTTCTTTCTAAACATTTTGTTACTCATTATAACCCGGGTTTGTAAAGGTCACGTCGACAGCGCTAAGGTAACTGAAAATTTATCTTCATTACATTAAATGTTTACTTAGCTGGAACTTTTTAAATACAACTAGGTTACGCATATTTATGAATGATTGACAAACCGTTTCTCATTGTCATCATCATCACTAACTATCATAAGTTTTATCATTTCAGCATAGACATGCCTTCCTTAGATATTACCTCACTTTCTGTGAAGATTCTACCTGCATTGCCGGTAGAATCTGACGGAACCACGAGCACTAATACGGTATTAACACATAATAGAGCCATACTGCTGCTATATTATAATTATAGCACGAATGGGTTGACTGGACCGGGGAAGGACCACGGTTTCATAGACACAAGCGTAAAAGAGCTGCTTAAAGTTGTTGTGTTTCATATGGTGAGCGTAGAGAACCGGAGACCCTTTTTACTGGAATCGAGGTAGTCTAGATTCTGTGACGTTAATGCTGTTAGCCTATGCGGCTCTTACAGCTTCATCGGACTCAGGGCCTTTCAGGTCGCGAGCTTTAAAAAAGGGGGGAGGGGATTATTTATTTTAAACGTCGCTTTCGCAACATTGCACTAAAATCGATATTGGAATCGAGGCATTTTAACACAGTCCACCTGATGGTAAGTGGTTGCTGCGGCCCATAGACATCTACATCTATCCTCGTTTGCGAAACAAAATGCAGATGCGTTGCCACCCGTGAGGACTAAGATGGAATGCCTCATTTCCAGTAAAAAGGGCCTCCGGCCACCTGCACTCACCAAGCGAAACGCAGAGGTAAACCTCTACTTCACGCTGGTATTCTGTGAGGTCGTGGTACCAACCCGGTTCGAGCCGGCCCATCCGTGCGACAGCAAAAGCTGTCGCGTGGCTCTACCACTGTTAAAATCTTAGTCCTCAGGGGTGACAACGTCTTCATATTTTGATTCTTAATCGAGGACAGATGTAGGTGTCTATGGGTCACAGTATCTTACCATCAGATGAACTGTACTCTCATTTGTCACCCTTATTCTATAAAAAAAAAACTAATTTAACTTACACATTGCCACTTTACATTTCTGAACCTTAGTGCTATATAAACCCATATACATAGACTTAGACTTTCTCAAAGAAAAAGTTTAAGCAGAAGAGCATTATGGATAAATGTACTCTTATTTTATTTTTTATTTTCTTTTGATATTAATTAAATAAGAACATAGAGTATATTTTAGAAAAATATCCTGTCCATTTTTCCATTTTCCAGCCAATTTCGCAATTTAAAAATACATTTATATAAAGGTTAAAATATCAAAGCAATTCTTTGAACTCCGAAACGTGATCCACTCGCAGTTTCCTTCTACGTGGGTGTATACTCCGTGGGTGGTTTGGTAGATGAAAGATATTACTTGGTAACTACTCAGACGTAATCAGACCTAGAACATAAAATCTTCAATTAAATATAAAACAAAATACAAAATCAGAAAACATTTTACAATTTCTTAGAATAAATTGAAAGTCTTCAAAATTGTAATTTTCTATGAGTAAGGAAGTTTACTAAAATTACAGATAGACAATACCTACCAATGAAAATTAAACAAAATGTATTGTGATATTTTAATTGCATTTTAATTTTAATTTCAAATTAGTTAGACCGACCCTGCGGGCCACAGGTTCTCGGTTTCATCCAGGCAATAATCGCCATACAGCGGAGTAGGCTGATATGATAATGGGCCATCCTCACAGATCAACAACCGATTGGAATAAATATTTTCGAGTGACAAGGTGTCATCCTAATACCGATCAACACAGCCTAAGTGGACGCCTCACGCTCCACTACGTAGGTTTTTTTTATAGGATAGGGTGACAAACGAGCACACAGTCCACCTGATGGTAAGTGGTTGCTGTGGCCATTAGAATCTATTTATCCTCGTATGCGAATCAAAATGCAGATGCGTTGTCACCCGTGAGGACTATGATGGAATGCCTCTTTTCCAGTTAAAAGGGTCTCCGGTTCTCTACACTTACCACACGAAACAAAGCAGTGTTAAGCTGCTATTTTACGTTCGTATTCTGTGAGAGCGTGGTCCTTCCCCGGTCGAGCCGACCCATTCGTGCTACGACTATACTACTAATATAGCTGCAGCATGGCTCTACCACGTAAAAAAAGGGGGAATAAGGTTGATGTATCGGGGAAGACTGTACACCCAGTGCGTGTTGCCAGTGATAACATACGGAACTGAGACGTGGTCCTTCACTGCTGGCCGAATGACGAAGCTCAAGGTCGCTCAGCGAGCTATGGAGAGAGCTATGCTCGGAGTTTCTCTGCGTGATAAACTCAGAAATGAGGATATCCGCAGTAAAACCAGAGTGACCGACATAGCCCAACGGATTAGTAAGCTGAAGTGGCAATGGGCTGGCCATATAGCTCGAAGAACCGACAACCGATGGGAAAGAAAGGTTCTCGAGTGGCAGCCTCGTACCGGCAGGCGAAGTGTAGGGCGTCCCCCCACTAGATGGAGTGACGACCTGGTAAGATATGCATGAAGTCGATGGATGCAGGTGGCTCAGGACCGTGCTTTGTGGCATTCTTTGGGGGAGGCCTATGTTCAGCAGTGGACTTGTGAAGGGCTGTAATGATGATGAGAAGAAATCGACAGATGTAGGTGGCTCAGGACTATTTCTTAGGAAAATATGTGAGAGGTATTTCTTCAGCATTAGTGTTTGCGCCAAACGCTAAAATTTAAAATTACTATAACGGAGGCGCGTTATCGCGCTTCTTCGATGTACCTAGCACCGGCTGGCACGCGGCTCGCGGGCACCTCCCCGCACGTGCTGAGTACGGAGATCGGGTATTTTTGTCGTCAAGCGACGGCCGGGCATTGCATTGCTATGAGTCGAATCGAGCCGCGTGGTTGCCTCTGATAGTGCCAATTTTGTTAACGGATTTGTGCAGCGACGAGGAATATTGTAGTCTAGAACATTAGACGCCGGGTTGGCTAATTGTTGAGTTAATGTTTAATTGTACTGTTGCGTTAAGTGTCTTAAAAGGTCGCGTTCGGTTTTCGAAATAATTTGTTGCGGAGTGAACGTAAGTGAACTTTGACCCACCGGTCATCCGTCGTGCCGCGTGTTACGTTTGTTGATTATAATTAACGGGATTTAGTTGCGTCTTGAAGTTAGTTAAATGTACAATAAAGTTGATAGACTGACATAGTGAATTGAAGAAAGAAATTGTCCATTGCTGCTGCCGCTGGAGAATACCACGCCGGGGGGCGGTGCCGGAGTCAGGGTTGCTGCTGATTAAAAGGGCTAATTCAGGTTACACAGATATACACTTCTCACACACTACTTACATTCACGACAATTAACGCCTGCACGAGCTCTGTAAGCCTTCTTCGTCTCTGAAAAGGTACGTACTATTTATTCACCTAGCCTTCTCCCTCTTGTGTAGTATGATAGGACATTTTCCATAAGGCATTTTGAGCCCCACACTTAGTTGTCCGTCGAACCTAACAGCTGTATAGGCAACTAGGTGAACGTGAACAATTAGGATTAAGCTTACCTAATCGTTGTCCAAAATTTTTTTTATAAAACTAGAGAGACACGAACTGACAATCTATCTGATGGTAAGCGGGTGTTGCATGGTCGTCTACAACCAACTTTAAATAAACAAGGCTACAGATGCAATACCACCTTTCAAGACTAAGATGGAATGCCTTATAGCGTATAGTTATACTGGCTCTCTATCCCGTGCACACCGGCTCGCATCACTGCAGGCACTGCTATGTAGCGGCAGAAACAGGTAAGAGAATGGTACCTACCTAGATGTACTCTTAGGCACAAAAAGATTGCTACCACCTAGTAAAACTACTATTAATCTAATCTACTATGATCAAAAGAATTGTGAATCTTTCCCTTCGGAGTCAGTAAAAATAGGAGTCAAAAAAAATTTCTACAAAAATTGCAAGTACAGAGTAATCTTCCCATATCGATTGGCGTTTTAATAAGTTATTCAAAATGTTCCAAATAAACGCAGGCGGGTTAGGTACATTAAAATTGCGTGTAATGGTTTTAGTACTCCAGTAAAATGACACACTATAAAATAAATACAATTATTTTGTATTGTGTCACTTATAGTTAAATTTATCAAGTAAAACAAAAACAAATAAACTTTGTAAAATTAATTTAATTTTACAAAGACTGTTATTAGATATTTTATGTGGTAGGTAAACGCTATGAGGCCTTAACTTTTTTCTGGTAATTAAAAATTTGGGTTATATAGAGTATACATAAGTAATTATACAATATATACATAACACAATTTTCCCACAAAGATCTTGAATAGAATAGGATATCGTTTATTTCTTAGTATATGGCAAAATTGTAAAATTCTTAATTGTTTGATACTAGAATTTTGTAGTATTGTAGATGTAGGTATATTATTTTCCACTGGCAAAGAGACCAATCTATGATTATCATGGATCTTATAATATACAATACAATACAATACAATACAAGTGACTCGGTAGCCTCTCGGTAGAAAGAGGCGAGTTGGTGACTTGACTTCACTATAATACACATATCTTCCTGCTTTATTATTCTCGTTTCTTGCTCGGCTCATAATTTAATATAATATGAAAATAGTCAATGGGGCTTTTTGGTAATATATTTCTCTATCTCACATTCGTCATTTTCAACCCTCTCCGTTCTTACCGTGTCATACGATGTCCTGATATAAGAAAATCTATATAAAAACATTTAATTAGTTCATATATTTTTATTCACCGATTATTATAGAAATTTTAAACTTTTATTACAACGCAGGCAATAGTTATTTGCTCCAATTTTCAATGAATGAATGACCTAGACCGCGTGCCAAAAGATGAATCCCAGTTTTCAGAAAGCGGGTTAAGAGACCTTACGGGCTAAAGTATGTACTAACTAGGCGCCATTTGTCCCCGCCTTGATCCACTTTTGTTGTTAGATTTTAAATCCGTAAAGAAATGAATGTGGCTGTTAATAATTGTGAAACTTATTAACTTGACCTTTTTAATCACCAACGAGAAAAAGGGATGTTATATGTTTTACGTGTATATTTGTGTGTCTGTTTGTGGCACCATAGCTCCCAAACGGATGAACCGATTTAGATATTTTTTGTTTGAAAGGTCACTTGATCTAGTGTTCTTTGCTAAGATTAAAGATCCGTTTGAAGATCATCAGCTCTTTTTGATTCAGTTCTATTTTAATTTTTAATTCATGTTATTTACCGAGACGAAGGTTCACACTTATGTTAGGATTCGATAAGCAACGCTGTAGTCAAGTTATTAACAAATTCTATATCGTTGGTCCAATATGACTAACATTCAATACATTTTGGTTAATGCCAAAACATATTGTGAAGTTATTAATAAACTTTATATTGACATACATTATCGAGAAATTCCGGAGTTATTGCAGTGTGAAACTCGAAGCAACCCCTCCCGGAAACGACAGTCTTCCGGACCAGCTAGTATTTTTATTAAAAAAAATTAAATGATATTTTCTTTGTAGATACGAGTATAATTAAGAATCAAAATTTATGAGGTTTATGAGCAATCATTTGACGAATTCTATAAAAAATCCTAACTTTGTTTCTCGCATACAATTCACACAAAATGAAATTCATATAATTTAGATCATCATCATCATAACATTTAGATCATCATCATCATCATCATTACATCCCTTCATAAGTGCATTACTAAACATAGGCCTACCCCAAGGAATGCCACAAAGCTCGGTCCCGAGCCACCTGCATCCATCGACTTCCTGCATGTCTTACCAGGTCGTCACTGGTGGGCCGCCCCACACTTCGCCTACCGTTACGAGGCTGCTATAATTTAGATAATATTAACTAATCCCGATAAAATATCTTGAATATATTTACAAAATGAAACAAATTTATTATATCTCATTTAAATTAAAGCCTCATAAGAGAACTTGGATGGATTGGATTACAATATTTCATTTGAAGTTCGCCGCCATGCTTTGAAGCAGCGCGACGGACTAATTCTTCTATACCCCTTTTAGAATCGAAACTTACATCACTTTTTACATCTATAAATAAAATATAAGAGACGTAGATTACACGTTTCAATCTATACATAGAAATAAAAGTGTCTATTTGTAATATTAAAATAAGACAACATTTCATGCTATTAAGACATAATTAACCATTTTTTTTAAATTTTGTCTGTCTGTAATGGCTTAACCGATTGAAATTAAACTTTATGAACAGATAAAGAGCAATACCAAGAGTGATCTAGGCAATATTTTCTCCGAAAAACTAGATTATTTAAAAAAAAACGACGTTATAACATAAACACCCTTTGATATTAATTCTAAATAAACCCACATTAATAGATTCTCCCGATTCCAGGCAAAGCCGGGTCGAGCCGCTAGTAATAGATAAAATCATTTTTCATTCAAGCTTTTTCATCCATTCCCGGATGCACATTCTTGAACACACTTGAAAAATTTGCTTCCATTCTCCACGAGTGTTGGAAAGTATAGAGTTTATTTCCTCGAACTGGTCCCCATCAGCTATGTAATTTGGATTCAGCATACCAAAACCTCGTTCTTTAGTTAACACCTGATTGACACTATCATATTATGTTATTTATTATATTTTTTTCCTTTTTTTTTTAAATACTAGTAATGCTATTAAACTTTACTAATATTCCCTTTAACCACTTCTGCTATGCTTAAAATGCTTGTGTGAAAAGTGATTCACGACAGTAGTCGAATGGCGGATTTGAACCCACGACCTTTCGAATTCACGGCCCGCACCCTGCCATTAGGCTACTGACGCTTTTTATTTAGTGTTATGTACCTATGCTGTTTCAAAGACATATATAATACTTCCCCGTTTACTTTTGTACTAATACTCACTAACTCGTTGGTCTACTGATCGAAAATGCGACTGCTAATCATGTGGTACATTGTTCGAATCCCGAGTTTGGACAGAAGTTAGTTATGAGATTTTTCTGTCAAGAAATTATCAGTAGCAGCCCAGGATGTTGATGTCAGGATGTTGGCGGTGTTTCACCCACGTGCCTGGGAAATCACGTAAAGCCGTGAAATTCGAATTAGAATACATTATTATTACTGTAATGCCCGATCTATAAATACCCAAAATGTTTATACCTTTGTTAGTTAAAATTACTTATTAAACTTTCAGCTGGAAGAGGAATGCAAAATTGCAGACATCTGCCGTCACGACCAAGTTCCTGTGTGTGGTATTGATTCTTGTGGAGAAATGAGAACATTTATCGATACCTGCGATATGCATGAGTTCAACTGTGATAGTAAGAAAGGTACGAGTATTATGAACAAAACGTATCGTTAACCTAAACAACAACGAAAGAAAGTCGGAGCGCTGCGTACATTCCAAGTTACGCAAAAACCTAACCAAAAGTATGCTCAATTTACGGGTATTATAAGAACACACATTCACGTACTCATAGAAATCTAAAACTATTAACAACCAACAACATGCTTTTAGGTGCATGTTAATGCATACAGCAGTGAACTTATGCAGGGCAGCAGTAGCTTTAAGTCCGCCCTTTGTAATCCTTTTTTGATATGGTTTCAATAAATAAATAAAAAATGAACACGAGAGCGTCTCAAGAAATTGAGCATGATTTTGGAATCACATGTAACAAGCGCAGCGAAATTTTTTTATCTTCTCCATGCACTTATCGTATCTTTTTATTATAATACGTACCTACATCTTTTTTTATCTAAATTCATTACAATAAAAAACTGCAAACCTAAATTTTCGTACAATCCTATTTCCCGCAGTATAGTGCCAAGAATTGGAAAAAAAGAATAGCCTTCTTTTTTTCCGCGCCGATATCTAGCCGCGGATACAGTTTCTTGAGGCACTTAACTGTGTGTGGACCCCACGGACCGATAGTTTTAACAACAAATAGCACAATTACATATATTCACTCTCAAATCTCATATTTGCGCCATTTACTCAGTTCAGTCTTTGATGCCGCCCAGGCTATTATCGCGGTATATCTGAGGCCGAAGTGACTATGAAACATCTTAAGCTAGAGCTTTTATCTCTTGACATCGTCTCTAAATATTCCACGTCTCTAAAATCAAGGGAACATATAAAGGACAAATGCCGGATATTGTCGTTCAGATCCGTAACGGGTCAACCGTGTGCGTGTCAACTTTTACATAAACGTTCGTGGAATCCCAACTCTTCGACGCTGCTACGTCAAGATAACTGTCATGAAGCATTGTCCTTAATATTAAACAACTTCAAGTACGCTTACAACGGCAATACTGCAATTCGACAGCATAACTTGAAGTTATTATTTAAGCACTATTTGCCGTAAAACTTAGTGTACAAGTGGCAATCGTTTTTATCGGTTTATATTTGATACAACTGAGTGTGTCGTAAAATAAACTTTGCTTATAGGATAAATTGAAAGATGACAATCATAAAATTTTGAGACAGAATGAATGGACAAAAATATTTTTTTTGCTATCTTTTCTTAATTATCGTGGTTATTCTAAAATGCTCCTCTTAAAAGTCAGTTCACCAAAAGAGTTTGTACTCAGAACTGTTGTAAAATGCTAAAAATCGTCAGCGATTGAGAGGAAACATAATAAAAGATATAAGTGGTGTATAAATGTTATGCTGAAGCAACAACAAAATGGCCAAAAGTTTAGAATATCAAGTGCACAAATGACCTCGTATGTTTTCTGTTTTGGATAGGACGCAGTAGTCTCTGATCAGTAATTTTTTTCTGTATTTATGTTTACTCGAAATCAGATCGGATTCTCTTACGCGTGATAATGAAGCTACGCATCACATTTCCTCCCACTTTAAGTCAAGATGTCAATAAACCTCTGAACAGTTCTAAGAACTTGAGCGTTCTTGAAATCCCCCTATGACTTCGGCTTGCTGACTTAGTGCTTCTGATAAATGACGCCCTTTCCAACCATAAAACCAACTTTAATAGACCCATGATATAACGCAAACCAATGTTGTACAAATTTTACATTTTACTGGTCAATTTTACGCCCCCGCTTTCTTTGTAATATTACTCACGGGTGTTGTTCAAACATTTTGGCGACATTTATTGTGACTTTTCTTGAAAATGTGTTAAAATATCCAAATCCATATAAGCTGCTACGTAGTCCTATTTGTTAAAAACCAATTAAATAAAAGATAATTTAAAATTAAAAATTTTGTACAACCGACATCAATATAAATTATTAAGAATAACTCAAAAACTATTGGTCAGACCTTGATCAAATTTATATGGGACAACATGAGACTCACCAGCTTTCAAATAAAAAGAGAATCAATGAAATTCACCCAGAAAACTTTTAAGTTCAGCCTTTTCTGTTTGTTTGTCTGTCTTTATGTCCTGCGTGGTAGCAGACTTCACATTTCTTCACAAACATGCAGCCTTCCGCACGATGTTTTCCTTTTTACTTCATTTAGAACATGGTAAATCAGCACTTACAATTACAGTTAACAATTTCATTGATACCGGCGGGGATCAAATCCCGGTTTAATTCATTAACGATGATCGCTTAGGTTGACAAGAGCTAGTGACACGTAGCACTAACTGTGCATAGCATGCGCTTTACAGATTTTCATGTTTAATAAAAAAAAATTCTAATTCATTGAGTACAAAAGTCTTACATTTCTAACATCTATTAATTTTAAAACCACTGGGGTTTATCTGTGCTGTACAGTCGTCACATTTATAGCGTTAATATAAATAATACGCTCAAAGGGAAGTTAAATTTAGCTTATAAATCAATTAGTTACGGCATCCTGTTTCATTTTCGATATAATAAGAACACTTATACTTTATTGTACACGAAGTAGCATTAAATATCTGAATTTCCTAGCTCCTTCAAGATGTTAGATATTGAGAAGTAGAAAGTTCTGGTATTAACGTATTGGCATTTCTCCCGAGAGCACAGAATAAATAATAGTACAAGAACCGAAAGGGAGAATATACATTCTGTAGCAATAAGTTCTCTTAGCTTACGTAGACGACTATATTGATTTAGTTGCTTTAATCAAATTCAAAAATAAGAAATTTACCTTATCATACACATTCATAAATTTGCATTATTTACATTGCCATCTACGTATTTGTTTTTAATTAGTGAACTATTCAATAGTTTTCAAAATTCTTGATGGAAGTCTATAAGCATCTAAATATGTTTTATAAGTTTTGCCGTATCTATTCCATATACATCTAGCTACATAGCATTGCTACATAGTGTGTACATATTTACAGTACGTAAGAGCCTCGTTAGCTGCTTGGCAAGCACCTGTCTCAATTTTTTTTGTATCTGTGCGAACTTAATTACATCCTGACAAACACATCTCATACATAATTGGTAGTCGTTATTTTTTATGGTAATCTAGCATTTGCTTGCAAAACACATTACACGTGTTCTACGAAATTTTTTCTAAAAATTATAAATGATTTATATTTATTTCGCAGACTTCATACAAAAACCAGTCCACGAATGTTGGGTGACGTGCAAGCGCGGCAGAAGTTTTAAGAAAGCAGCCTACGGAGCGGATTGCGAAAAACAAAACATGGTGTAAAAACGACCATTTATCAAAACAAAACTGTTTAATTTAATAAATAAACTCGATAAATAAGAAACAATAACTTACACACAACGTACTTATTGTTTCGAGATCACAGCGCTAATCATTCATTACATAATCTACTTTGTATAAACTAAAATAACTTACATGTTTATAAAAATATCCCATAAAGAGAACTTGTATTGTTTTAAACAATTACATATGGCGTGGTTATTATAGTAAAATGTATAATAGTGATTTATACCAAAAACCATTAAACAAGATTATTTAAGCAGCTCTATACTCGTATATTTATTTTTACTACTTATAACTACTTATTGACTTAGATTCACAAAATAATTTTTTCTCTTCTTTTTAAGTTCTTATTTACAGTGAGTCTTATAATATGTAATCATACACATAACTAATAATAATTATTTAAGTTAAACATCATTTATATGTTAAATATGATTTTTAGATACGATTTTCGACAAAACGTAGGAATCTTGATTTTTAGGCGCTAGTAGAACATACCTACGCGCTTTGCGCTTAAGGCATGCAATAATGTTAAAAATATTTATAATGATTCTTATAGTACATTCTCATTTCTGTATAAATACTTCTAATATACATTAATATTAAAATCCTTTTACAGTAAGAATTTCCTAACTAAATAGATAACTTTTTATTAACATCTTTACATTTTAAATAATCATAGCGCACGCTGTGAAGAATTTTTTTATTAATAATATTAAAATAAATATATTAATGCCTATCTAAAAATCCAGCGCTCTTAACAATCTTATAAATTTTTTCCCTTGGAATCATTTCAGCCTCTCTCTCTACTATTTGCATCTCCTTGTTGGTAAACCATGACTCCTTAGCAAGTCTTGCAGCAATTACTGGGTTGTCATAAAATTTGCTAGATTTCAACAGTTCACGGGGGAGAAGCGCTTCACTTGCTGCATTTAGCTCCACCGCTGGGTGTGGTTGGACAGCTGGCACAGATGGTTGGGCGTATTGAATCCCGATTGGCTGTAATTGTTGAGTAAATATCAAGCCAGGTCTTGCGTGAGCCACAGCGAAGATGGCCGCAATGATGAATATTTGACGCATTTTTATCTGAAAAATAAATTTAAAACTATTTTGTAAAACGAAATGTAATTTGTTAAATATTTAAACTAATAAACACATCTTTATCATCATTTCAACAGAGTCCAATACTAAAACTAAGCATCTGTACGTAACTAAGCTCGATTTAAGCAAACTTCATGCATCCTCAACAGCTCGTCATCTCATCTAACAGGATTTGCACTACTCTTGATGGCCAAACTGCCACTAATTCGAAAAGCTTTTCGTAACTAATGTGAGTTTTTCCAGAATTACGACTTGCGTAATGAATTTTATCACTGAGGAAATTTTCGAGCCCATCTCTCTCCATAACTCATTTAGTAACGCTTTCGTAGGTCATTACTAATTATTAAAAAGTCGAATGTTATTTCTTTAGCTTTAATAGTTTGAATTCCTAAGGCCTCAATCGAATTTTCCGCTCTTTTAGGACTTACTTCCCTTCGAAAATTATGTAATAAAATTCTACCAATCTTGATACCAAGGTTTTCTTGTAAATAACTGAAGTGACAATCGAACTCACAGTCCACCAGATGGTAATTGGCTACCGCAGCCCATGAAAACCTGCTTACGGCAAGTGAAGCAGAAAAAAATTAGATTAAATATGAATAAAACCGAATAATAAATTATAACCCCGTGTAGTGGCGGGTAAGAATACCCACTACCCCATATCTTCCCGTAGGTGTCGTAAAAGGCGACAGAGGGAAACTGAGAAAGAAGATGGGCGGCAGCATCTTTCTGATAACAGCAAATAACAATAAAAAAACCGCAGTTGCCAACCCGCTCGCCAAACGTGGCAACTATGGCAAAATACCAAATGCATGCAGCGAGACTTACGCAACTTTAACACTGCTCGTATTGAGGAAGCGATCAAGCGGACCCAGGGCTTCAAAGTCTTTGCCAGAGATCCGTTTGCCAGAGATCCGTCTACCAGAAAAATCAAACGGTCGAAGCTGAAGACCGAATGTGACAGTATCGTTTCCGGGACACCTGAGATTTTGAGTGAGACTGAGAGGTTCTACGGGCATCATTACTCACACTTGCGTGTGAGTAACGATCCTAGAGCAAGTCTTATCAGTCACTATTCCGATGATATCCCGGACGTTAGTCTAAGCGAGATTAGAATGGCTCCCCAGCACCTTAAAAATGGCACCCGGGCGAGGATGGAATTACAGCGGAGCTTCTGAAAGCGGGTGGAAAAACCGGTACATGAAATCCTTCAGAAGCTCTTGATTTCCGTCCTCCACGGTGGCACTACAGCGTGGAGTAAAAGTGCGGTGGTCTTGTTTTTCAAGAAAGGCGACAACGCTCTCTTGAAGAATTATAAACCGATTTCCCTTCTTAGCTGCGTCTTCGTGCTGTTTTCTCGAGTTATTACGAATCGTATCGCATGTAAACTCGACGACTTCCAGCCTCCCGAACAAGCCGGTTTCCGAAAGGGTTTTAGTACTATAGACCACATACATAACCTTCGACAAATTGTACAGAAGACCGAAGAGTACAATTTGCCACTATGTCTTGCGTATGTGGACTATGAGAATGCCTTTGATTCCGTCGAAATTTGGGAGTGCTGCAGTCCTTTCAGCGGTGCCAAGTTTACTGTCGGTATATGAAAGTGCTGAAGTATTTGTACAGTAGGGCTACGATGACTATCAGAGTACAGAACCAGAGTACGAAACCTATCCAACTGCAGAGAGGTGTAAGACAGGGTGACTTTATATCCCCGGAACTTCTCACCGCTTCATTGGAAGACGTTTTCAAGCTACTGGACTGGGAAGGATACGGTATTAACATCAATGGCGAGTACAACACTCACCTTCGATTTGCCGACGATATAATCCTAATGGCAGAATTGCTAGAGGACCTAAGGGCTATACTCAATGACCTAAATAGTGCCTCCCAACGGATAGGTCTTAAGATGAACAAAGACAAAATAAAGATTATGTATAACGTCCATGTCACACCTATGCCGGTAGTTGTTGGGAGCACTAAGCTCGAAGTTGTTGACGAGTATGTTTACCTGGGACAAATAGTCCGACTAGGTAATTCCAACTTCGACCGAGAGATCAATCAACGGATTCAACTCGGCTGGGCAGCGTTCCGGAAATTACGACACATCTTCTCGTCAGGTATACCTCAAAACTTGAAAATGAGACTTTACAACCAGTGCGTGTTACCATTGATGACTTATGGAACTGAGACTCCATCACTGCTGGCCGTATGAGGAAGCTCAATATCGCTCAGCTAGATGTGGAGAGGGCTATGCTCGGAGTTTCTCTGCGTGATAAACTTAGAAATGGGGATATCCGCAGTAGAACCAGAGTGTCCGACATAGCCCAACGGATTAATAAGCTAAAGTGGCAATGGGCCGGGCATATCGCTCAAAGAACCGACAACCCATGGGGAAAAAAGGTTCTCGAATGGCAGCCTCGTACCGGTAGGCGAAGTGTAGAGCGACCCCCACTAGATAGAGTGACGACCTGGTAAGACATGCAGGAAGTCGATGGATGCAGGTGGCTCAGGACCGTACTTTGTGGCATTCCTTGGGGAGCCTTATGTTCAGCAGCGGACTTGTGAAGGGCTATAATGATGATGATGATATTTCTACATACTCATAAAGTTAAATTCATGCGGAAAGCTCATTGCTAATGACTGTTTACTGGTTAAATAATGCTTGAAGAAAATATTAACTCCACATCCATATACCTACGCATACACGCTCGACGGTTAAAGGTACTCTTGATTTGGCTCATTTTCAATATATCGCCAATAAGGTCGATAAACTTTCGCCTAGGGCGTCCCTTCCCGCCTCGGCCGTTCACCTATGCAACATAAATTTGCTTTGTCACTCTTTCCTCATTCATTCTTTCGACATGACCAAACCACCGAAGCATTCCTTTCTTAATCCTGGTCACAACATCATCTTCCAAACCACACTCTTCTTTTATCAAACAATTTCTCACTCTGTTATTCAGATTCATCCCTAAGATACCCCTTAATGACCGCATTTCTACAGCATTTATTCTACTCTCGTGCTTCTTCTGCCACACCCAACTTTCACTGCCATACATTAAAGTAGGGACTAACACAGCATTGTGAATTGCCATACGTGCCTTTTTGGACACATTCTGACTTATCACAATAGGGTGTAGAGCCCCATTCACTGTATTTCCTGCGTTCACTCGTCGTTCTATATCTTTATCATATCTACCATCCCTGCTAAATACACATCCTAAATATACAAAATCATCTACTTGCTCTACCAACTCCCCTTCTATTCTTCTTTCACATATCGTTTTACTTTCTTCTCTTTCAAAAACCATAACTTTCGTCTTACTTGCGTTCAATTCCATTCCCTTTTCTTTTAATATCCTGTTCATTAATGTAACCATCATTTGCAACTCGGCCGCCGACGACGCAAGTATGACTTGATTATCGGCGTACATAAGGCATTTGACGGTTAACTCACCCATTCTTAACCCGCATTCTTCAACTTTCAAATTTTCCAAACAACTGTCCATAAATAGGTTGAACAGCCACGGGGAAACCACACAGCCCTGTCTGATACCTTTATGGGTGCCAAACCAGTCCGAGTAGGCCCCTTTGATCCTGACACAAGCACTAGAATCCCTATACAGAGACTTCAATGCCTGTATCAAACCAGCGCTCAACCCAAATGAGTTCAGTGTTTGCCATAACACATCCCTGTCCACTCTGTCATAAGCCTTTTCCAAGTCCACGAACGCACAAAAAACTTTTTAGTTTTTGGCCAAAAACTTCTCCGCGACCATGCGCATGGAAAAGACCTAATCCGTACATCCCATTCCCTTTCTAAATCCCGCTTGCACATCCCAAATTTTTCCATCAGTTTCTTCCATAATTTTTTC